CTAGGCTTGAAAGGCACTGACTCAAACCTGGGAAAAAATGGATTGCTAATTTTACTTCTTCTGGACACCAGTGTTCACTATTTCTAATAATCACATAGGGCCAAACTATGCTAGTAATAAAAGGTTTGTGCTCTACCTAGTGGCTGAATTGACCTGCAGTCCCAGTTAAAATATAAACCAGAAATAAGTCATATATGTAAAAATCATCAATGCTGATAATCCGAGAAAAATGCAACATCCCAAATGACCACAATGACATCTAAACACAGTGTCTGGCAAATATAGACTAGGAAATGTTCTGTCAAAATAAAGATGTGAAACCAGGAAGCAGATGGCAAAATTCTTTCTAAAACCTTAAGGAACATTTTAGGCACTGCTGACTGTTCTCCAAATAAAAAGAGATGTTTCATCAAGGGTAACTGAAGCTAGTCACCATAATAACTGCTCCAAGCCTCTCTACTTGGCTCACGTGGCTGGCCTGGGAGGGGAAGTGGCCCTCGTCAGGGCGTGAATGCGCACCCTGCAAGGTGAGACTGAGGCAGCTCGCTGGCATTCTGGAGGAACTCCAGAGGCCTGGGCTGGGTTTCAGTCAGAGGCAAGGAATCCTCAACTCTACTTTTTGTAATGATGCTTTGTTAGGCAATCACCTTCTCCATTTGAGATTTCTTTTACGTTCTTGCCCCATTTTCTTGTTTTCTAGGCTGTGTACACATCTGAACCTTTCTAGACAACTGGGGAGTAATAGTGTATACTTGTATGCTGCCTTTTCCCCAGACCTACTACACTGATGTTTAGAAGACTCAAAGGAAACCATTAAATGGGAATATTTCATATTTTATAGACAGGGAAACTGGCTCAGGAGGACAGCTCTTCATTCATATAATTTACATGAAAGCAGTTCTTTCTATAGGTCATAAAGTTGTAGGTGATACGATAAAATGGGCTAGAAAAAAGGATTTTTTAAGAATGGGAATTATATAAGATCGATTTCTGTAACTACCTTTTTATTCCTGAAAACTTTTTATTTTCAACCTAAACCTAACTCTACCTCTGGGGACTTCCCAGTATATTTCTTTATGTCTTCCAGAGGCCACATGTTAACAACACCTTTTGTGATCTACATGAGTACAAACAACTATATACATATGCAAAAGTATACAGGTATATGCCAAAGAGAAAGTTAAACCAAGAGCACTTTTAATTTTAGGTGGGGAGCAGGGGGCGCTTGCTGGCAATTAAACCCTAGCCTTATGCATGCTAGGCAAGTACTCTATCTCTAGCTATACCATCAGCCACAAAAGTACTTTAATACTGGCTTAATAAATGCTCTCTTATCTACCTTACAGACTATAAATAGTATTTAGGCTTAAAAATATGCAAAACAAAATTCTACATTCTGGCTTTTTTTTTGGTGCCGGGGATTAAACTCAGGGCTTCACACATGGCCAGGCAAGCACTTTATCACTGAGCTACAAAATAATTTTTAATATAATCTATAGAAATATTATCCCTTTTCATTCCTCAAATCATCTTCAGAAAGCAGAAAAATGAAAATCTTGTAGCTGAAAGACAGGGACCAGTTAAAAACACCAGAATTATTTTGTCATAAACAATATTCTTCTACTTTATATAAATGTACAGTTCTACATCTAATCTTAGCATAATTTAAAAGTGATTATTGATATTTACAAAAATCATGTCTGTTTTTCTCATTTTGTCTCTATTTAATCTTATGCCAATCCTCAAGAAGGATGGTGTGAAAGTGGGAAGAGAGGATGTAAACGTGGATCCAGAGCTGAGGCCAGGGCTCCATTTGTGGGGGCCTACTTTTGCTGAGTCTCACCCAGAATCTTGTCATTTTAGGCAATCATTCAAAATTGAATTATCACTTCCACTGGCCCTGACACTCCATGTCAATAGTTATTTCTTGACTTATTCCCCTCAGTAAATATAAACAATTTATAGCTAAGCTGAGTGTAAGAAAACAGTTAAGGCCAAAAGAAACTTCATGTGTGCTACTACTGACTCATGATAGGCAGAGCTCAAATCATATACTTAGTCTTAACAAGAAAGAGGGAGGGAGGGAGAGAGGGATGTTATCTTTTGATTAACTAAATATCTTGACTGAGGCTGTAGCTCAGTAACACTTGCCTAGCATGCACAAGGCCCTGGGTTCAATTTCCAGTACCACAATGAAAAAAAAAATTGTTTATTTAGAAAAATTCTAAACAAAATTAGTAAATATATTTATTTTTATAATTTAACAAGCACATTTTAATAATCTTTTTGTTTCCATACAAAGCAATCTAGAGCTTTCTGAAGAAAAAAGAAAAAAAATGGCTACAGAGAAACTACAGAGAACCCTTTAAACATAAACATGCATGGTTCAAATAGCAACCAGAGACAGGGCCTTCGTCATCACTGGTGAGCCAGTTTATTCCAAAACTTTAAGCAAATAACAGTGGTTCTTCTGTATCTTTTCCCCAAAAAACTTTATTATAAAGACCCATCCTTCATCCCAAAGGGTCATTCTTACTAATGAACCATGCCAGGCTCAGTAGCACACACCTGTACTCCCAGCTACTTGGGAGGTTGAGACACAGGGATCATTCGAAGGAGGAAGATCACTTGAGCCCATGAATTCAAGGCCAGCCTGAATAACACAATAAAACCCTGTTCTCAACCACAAAACATATGACAGAGGAGAACCCTATGGAAGAAAGAAAATGAGAGAGAAAAATAAAAAATAACAGAATAGCATAAATATTTTTACCCTGAATAGCAAGGACTTTAGATAACATGTGGTAATACTTTTATGTACCTCAAAGGTACATAAAATTTTAACAATATTTAAAAGAATAAAAAAAAATCATCCTCTTGACTAAGTGTTTCAAGGTATGTCAAACTGCAGGTTTACATATGACAAAGTATTATGGACCACCAAATATGTACAAATAGGAATTACAAGCATTTCAGTTCACTGAATATCCAAACCAAATAAGATGCAAGGACCTACAGAATAAACACAAAGTCAGTCTACAGTGTTTGAGTTAATGGGATTTAAGACCCTTCTATTTTGTTCTGCGAGATAATTTTGAATAGTTCTGTTTTGTGTGTCCACAGTTATTCAGATAGAGATTTTTTTATTCTGGAACTCAGAATATTATAGGCCATAAAAAGTTTCAAACTCTAATGTTGGTATAATATGATTCAAACATTTAAAAATAGATCCACAGCTTTCATAAAAGTCCCTTGTCTATTGCAAAATATAACTTTTAAACAAGAATGTACCATACTAATACTTGTAGTTATCAATAAAACTGACTGAAATAATCACTGAAATGTCAGTCCAGGAGACCCTTGATCTTCCTGTTTGGCTGGCATAACAACCTACATTTCTGTGCATTATATACTGACACCCCTAATAGACTTCCTATGCTGATTCTGGATGTTCGTGGGAGGCAGATGAATGAATTTACAGTTATTTTACTGTGCCAGTGTTGGTTTGTCAATAATTTGACTCTTAAATATTTCATTTGAGTACGTGGAAAATGCAAAACTCAAATGGCTGATGTTAATACAACTAAGACAAGAATAGAGACTAGGAGGAATGAGAAAGCTTTAGCCTTAACTGAGTGCAACACAGGATTTAAAACACAGGCTGTGTTCAACTGAGAAAAGAAGCAAATACAGGGAACATGCAGAAAAAACACTGGTTGAAAGTAAGTAACCTAAGAGTACATCTAAAGAATGAAACATAATTAGAAATTCCAGAATAATTTATGTATGATCTCTAGAACTTTTCCCCATTTTTGTCCATAAAATGCTCACATATATTTTTAGGAATATACTGAGTAGGATATGAAAGAAAGAGATTTCATGTGCTGAAAACTGACCCATGACCAGTTTTTTTTTTTAATATTTACAGAATGAGTCTGTTAAGATTAGAAAAATTTGTTTTAGCAATCAACAAATGCAAGCCAAAAAAATTAAACACTAATCTACAGTAAAAGGTGCTACACAAGAGACATTTATTAATGTTCTGTTGTATTTACAGTTTTAATATAGCAAACCAAGGTGAATTACCACTTGGGCAGAAAGCACACCATTCTACATTTATAACGCATCAGTTTCTGCTAACACTTTGTAAAAGCAAGTAGTACAGTATGTTAGGGATCATCTCAAAAGTTCCAAGCTAATTCTTTCTTTGCTCTTCGTACCTAATCCTCTGGGACTCTAATTATACAGTGTCAAGAATTACATTTTAGTAATTAAGTTGCATTTCTTCTTACACTTTCTATTTTATACAGTGACAATACCTTTAGAATTCCTTAGGTACACACCACATAACAATAAGGTACTGCAAAAATTCAAATACAGACCATAAAAATTAATATTTATTTATCAATTAAGAACATACTTTTTTGACCACACCTTAAATGTATTTTTGTACTATAATTTTGCTTCCAGGTGTTCACACACAGTACAATAAATTTCTAGATTAATTTTAACAGCAAATATGGATTATGTGCAGAAATGCAGTCATAACAAAAAATTTAACTTTTGAGAAAACCCCTTTAAAATAGCCAGCCTTAAACATATCTTACACTAAAATCTTTTAATTCCAAATTTTCTTTGAGATGGAGGATGACTAAAGCAAGACTGCCCCCTACTGACTAAAGGGACAAGGCTCCATGCTATTTAAAATGACTACAAACAATACATAAGGCATTATTAATACATCACAGACTTGATTGCAAGAGCTTTTTCAAACATTAACCACTAATGATTCAATGATTACAGAATTTTGCATTAACTATTAAAATTTTACACCTAGGAACAAATAGAGAGAAATGATCTTTTCAACAGTACTTTATTTTTTAAAGCAGGTGATTATTCCTCTGTGTTCTGCGTCTTGATTCACTTCCTGCAGGTGTTCTCTTGCTTCTTGAGAGAGAATTCATAAATGCAGGAAGGCCTTTGCCAGAAAACATCTGCCAGAGAAGGATATTGAATATTGAAACTCTAGTTAGCTTGTTATTTTGGCTGAGAGAAGGATGTAGTCACAAAAGAAAGCAGGATGTTTGGAGACACGAGAAGTGCATTTTAACATAGTTTTCAGATTACTATATAATGACATCATGGTATTCAATAAACATTCAATTTTTAGTCCTTAACATTATCAAGGCCTCAAAAACTAGAAAGAACTGGTCTGCTTTCTCTAAAAACCTTTGAGGGTAGGGGTTTCTCTCTTCTGTTCTAACAAAAGAACAGAATGAAGTAACAATTCATTCTACCTTTAACCCTGTCAGGAATGACTAAAACTTAGAACAGAATTCACATGCTCAAGTAATCTTCCTAACACACCTGAGCTACTGTTTACCCAGACAATTCTGTCAATCTCACTTCCATTGAGGATGTTGATGATATCATGCTATATTTAAACAGACCAAGGCAAAATTTTAAAAACACACTGTAAACTCACAATTTCCATAAATACTTTTTAAAAATAAATTTTATAAAAAGCCAAAGTATTCTGGGGGTTTCTCTGAAAATAATAAATATATGTAATCCTGAAATATTTTAGGAAAGTTATATGATTGAAATATAGGCTATCAGAATAAAGTCAATAGTGCGCCTCTCACCTTTTTTGGTGGTATTGGGGTTTGAACTCAGGGCCTTGCTTATACTGGGCAAGCACTCTACCATTGAGCAATATCCCCATCCTGTTTATATATTTTGTTAAATGCCTGTTTTAATTTAATACTTTGAGGCAATTCCATACTGGCATAGCAAATTGTTCTGATTCTCATGGAAATAACTTGGGAAAAACTACCAGTTACTCCCTATTTTAATGCTAAAAGACAAAACACTAAAGAGATAACATTGATTAATTTAATAAACATTTATTGAGAAACCACTTCTAGTACCCAGAACCAAGTGACAACTTAATGGGATCAACTGACAATTGGATGGGCTCATACACAGGCCTTTAGTTTACCTTTCTCTCTCCATGTTACTATAAAAGCCACAGGAACTCCACCCCAGGCGCTTTTTAAAATATTTTGCTTAGATTATTGGATACATCTTTAAAAGGCTGTCCAAATGCAGACAAGGTACAATACTGGAGGAAATTAACATAGCTTTTAAAAACCATCAACATTTTTCCAAACTCCAAATTCAGTTAATATTCAGTCAACCAATGATACTGACTACAAGAGCAACTGTTATTTAGATTAAGAGACATAAAAGATTTGAAGATCTCAGAATATACAGAGACATCAGAGACAAGGAATTATAAGGAACTATAAAAACCAAGAAGAAAAAAGAAAATTGGCAGACTGTTACCAAATGGAGGCTTTTGTAACAAGGCCAGACTCATTACAAACCAAAGTGATTTCTGTTTTATCCATTTTGATTAATGATGAAAACTAATGAAACAATGCCTCTTAGGTCAAAACACTAGTTTGCAAGAACATTATGATAGAGTACAGGCAACATTTGTTAGTTCATGCTACTTCATCAATAGCCTCAACTGTTAAACCACTTTAACTCATGCAAAGATAAAGCCTGACACTCAACAATCATTTAAAATCCCTAAGAGGCTGGGAGCAGTGGCTCATGCCTATAATCCAGCTACTGGGAAGGCCAAGGCAAGAGGATCACAAGCTCAAGGCAGTTTGGGCAATTTAGTGAGACCCTGTCTTAAAAAATTAATAAAGTGTTGGGGCTGTGGCTCAGTGGTAGAATACCTACCTTCCTAGCAAGTTCAAGTACTTAAATTTATCCCCAACACCACACACCAAAATAAACAAAAACATCCCCAAAGAGGACCTAGATAGGTTACCATAGGTAATCTCAATGACCGTACAAACTCCAAATGAAAGATTCTTCTAAAAGGCACTGCTGTCTAAGACCCAGAGGCATGTTCACATCCACTTGACTAGCAGTATCACATAAACACTGGTGGACTACATGAGCTGAAGGACAAACAGATCTTGAAGACTGTGGATATCATTATACTAAATTATGATCTGACCACTTTGGAAACAAAAGGGATCCAAAAGCCTATATATCATTTAACTGAAGAAGGAAGACAACCAAACCAGTTCTTACGTATGTTTGTGAATTTTTAAAAATAGAAAATCCACTGTAAACACCATTGGTACTGTCTTGCCACTCAAAACAAGAGTCCATTAAATCAAACTTTACCTTGAGAAGAAATTCCTTTAATAAAATGAGAGGTATTAAAGGAACTGGAAGAGGTGAAGTGTGTGCTATCATATAGAAAAAATTAAAATATTTGTTCCCTCAGGTATAGCTTACCAAGATAAAGGAATCACTTACAAAAGGGCCCTAGCTCATTAATGCCAGGGCTTAAAGACAATTTTCCTTCTATTTCAAAAGACTTCTAAATACATTATACTTCATATGTACAAGTGCTTTTGGTACAACACAAACAGTGTTAGATATAATCAACTAAGTTACTACCTTATAGTTACTGTAGCGTATGCCTCATTTACCTGGCAGCATCAGAGAAGGTAGTGGTCCATAAAAATGTACTTTTCAGTGAACATAGTACATTTATTTTTTATTTTTTAAACAGTGCTAGGGATCAAACTCAGGGAGGTCTCTGCATCCTAGGTAAGAGCTCTACCACTGAGCTACATCCCCAGCCCTGAACAGAGTAAATAAGTGTGAGTAATTTTTATTTTTTACCATATCAAGTACAGATGTTTTTAAAAGGTATGCTTCTTTTTGAACAACAATAAGGAACATTTGCTTCCTCTCAGTCACACAGTAGATGACACTGTGTCCACCTTTAGCAGTTTCTTCTGGTTTTTGTTATCAAGTGGGAAACCAGTTAAACTGAGGTAATTAATGTACCTTCCCTGCCGGCCTTCCAGAGCCTCCATGGGCTCTAATGGGGTACTTGACAGGACTACATGAGTGTCAATAGGCTTTTGTAACATCTGCTTTGGTCTCTGGGGGATCATTTCCAGGTTGGTTTTTTATTTTGGGTAGCCAAAACTGAAAAGTCACTACTCTACTCTCCTCTAGTAAAATGCTGAATCTTAATACAGTGTGGAAGGTGTGTTACTTTTCTGCTATGATTATTTTTAAAATTTTAAATTTCCTTTCTGTGGTCTTTCTGACAAAAAGAAAGCCTATAGTTAGCTTTTTTTTTTTTTCTTTTTTCTTGAGGGGTGGGGATACCAGGGATTGAAGCTAGAGGTGCTTAACCACTGAGCCACATCCCCAGCCCTTTATATTTTGAGACAGGTTCTCACTAAATTGCTTAGAGCCTCACTAAATGGCTGAAGCTGTCTTTGAACTTGTGATCCTCCTATCTCAGCTTCCCCAATCACTGGGATTATAGCATGTGCCACAGCGCCTGGCTATAGTTAGCTTTTTTTTTCCATTTACACATTTTATTTGGAAATGTTTACACAAGTACAGAGAAACTAAATTTTTGAGATAGTGGATGCTATTAGATTATCAGTTTATTATAAAAGAGACATGGAAATTATTTACATGATGAAAGATTTCAGAGCTTGAGTGGAGTGGGCAGCTTCATAGGACGCCATTTCAACAGAGATTCGTTTCAGTCTACCTACTTTCCAAGAATGTCTCCATCTCTAAATAAGAAATAATCCTTGTCATCTAGAATTACTTTGGTGCCTCCATACTTTGGGAGAACTTTACCTCCAACCTTCATGCTAACTGGCTGAATCTCTCTACTCTTTCCTTTAGAGCCTGATCCCACAGCTACTACTGGTGCTTGCAAAACTTTTCCTTGAAATTTTTCTGGAAGCATAATGCCTTCTTTGGTTACAGTTTCAGCTGCACTCCTTTCAACCAATACTCTGTCAAAAAGTGGAAGAAACTTTCTAAATACTTGTCCAGCCATGACTCTGCACCATCGCAGCTCGGACTTCACTCTTGGTTAGCTTTTAACAAGTGATAGTACCATCAAAGAAAGCAGGAGTCAATAAAAGAAAAGCTTTTTCACTTGATGGGTTTCCAGTACATCTTCTAACTAAATTTACTCTGAACTAGAGAAAGAAAGCTATACGCATTTGGATCTGAATGGAAAGTTCTTATCCATCCCCTTCAATGGACAAAGGACATTCAATCCCATGGTATGTTATGGCTTTTCAGGCTCCCTCTGGAGATCCTGAGAATTAATAAGAATATCATTAGAATTCTAAACGCTACTTTAAGTCCCCAAAACTCTTACTTTGAAGTTTTGAATCCTCTAAGTATGTTAAGAATGATTTTCAAATCAACTAGGATGTCAATGCTGGGCAGAAAAAGTAAACAAATGCTATCATGCCCTCTACTGGGGGATATGAATTTACTATACATAAATTTTTTTTCTTGCAGTGCTAGGCATTGAACTCAGGGCCTTGTATATGCTAGGCAAGTATGCTGTACCACTGACCTATTTCCCCAGAGCTGAAGCACTGTCAACAGTCCTGATTTCAAATAAGCTCCTCAACAGTTCTCACAGCATTATTATCAAGGACTGCCTGCTTCATATCATAACCCTAAAGACTTTTATTTTTATTCATTCATTCATTTATTATTTAATTATTTATTTTATAGCCCCAAGGGGCTATATCCCCAGCTCTTTTTTTAATGGTGCTGGGGACTGAACCCAGGGCCTTGTGCATGTGAGGCAAGCACTCTACCAACTGAGCTATATCCTCAGCCCCTCCCCAGCTCTTTTTACTTTTTAAAATTTTGAGATAGGGCCTCACTAAATTTCTGAGGCTGACCTCAAACTTGCTATCCTCCCATCTTAACTTCCTCAGCCTCTGGAGTTGCTGGGATTACAGATGTGTTCACCATGCCTAGCTAGATGTATTGTTTTAAATTTAGAACACTCATAAAACATTTCAAATTTTTAGAAAATAAAAAAATTTTCATTAAAGTCCCTAACAATCTAGGAAATCTGACTATTTCAGGCTTTCTATGCTATTTGTTATAGATAAAAAGCAAGATTAAATGCATGCCCCTATTAAAGATTCAAATTTTTATCCAGCTGATAAAACGTAGAGAACAGAGAACGTAGAGAACAGAGGGGTGATGTCAGTCCACTGAGAAATTCACTGCTGCCTACAGAATTCATTATTTAAAAGAAGAGAGAAATCTATCCCCTCTGGATCTTTTGCACAGCAATGTTTTAGGGGAAATTTGTGGTGATTTCAGCCCTGTTTGTAAAGAACCCTGTAAATGCATTAACTTTTGATCTTTGCTATGTGAGAATTAACCCCAAGGCTAACTGAATATTATAATCAGATATGCAGATGAAAGATGACAACAGTAATTGAATAAAACAGCACAGAACATCTGATAGGCCTCTTAAAGTTAGAATGTCCTAGACACAAAGACACACCACAGGCCTTAGGGCCCAAGCCAGTGTTAATCCATGTCCAGATTTTGTGACCATAATCAAATTCATAACATGCTACACATTTTTAAACATGTAATATTAAGATTGTCCCTTTAAAAAAAAATAAACACAAAGTACATAATCCCTTGGAGAAATAACTTTAACACAGTTTAAGCCATCTGTTACTTACGTACGTATATTTAATTCTACATGTAAAATGTTTAATACAGTATCTGACACATGGAAAACTTTATAATGGTAAGATTATATCACGCTTGAAAAAAATTTTTGTTATATTCAAGAAGGTATAATCATATTATTCTCTTGCTTAAAAGCTTTTAACACTGCCTCATAACCTGGCAAATTAAATACAGTACTTAATTTTCTTGAAGCTTACACCATATACCTGAGACCACCATAAGCCTTTAAAACTGAGAAACCCACTCTTAGTACATCATTACCTACATAAACTATGATACCAGACAGCAAATACAAACTCATGTTCTCATGGGCTTAGCTTGCACCCAGTCAACATGTCAGTAGGTTAAAGGGCAGCTCTATGAACTTGATGCTTCCCTTTGTGCATGTGAGGCAAGCACTCTACCAACTGAACTATATCAGTTGAAAATGGGCTTAATACTCAAGATCGTTAAGAACACTGATTGAACCTGTTTTCTAGTCTCAACTCTTTATACTCCTTTATGTTCCCATTGAGCTGCTATCATTTGTATTTCCTTGCCTCTATTTCTTTTCTTTTTTTTGGCGGGGGTGTGTGGCACTGGGGATTGAACTCAGGGGCACTGGATCACTGAGCCACATCCCCAGCCCTGTTGTGTATTTTATTTAGAGACAGGGTCTCACTGAGTTGCTTAGTGCCTTGCTTTTTCACGGAGACTGGCTTTGAATTCTCGATCCTCCTGCCTCAGCCTCCCAAGCCTCTGGGTCCCTGCCTCTATTTCTGCTCTGTACTCTGCCTTAAGTGACTCTGAAATTCGTTCCCACGCTATCCAAATTTCCACTTGCTAAAACTCTGTCATTTAACATTTGTCACTACTGCTACACACATGTTGTTGTAAACCTTGTGTACTGACCTCTGAGTGGTACTCAACATTCCTCTCTTATCATCCACACAGCTCCCAAAAAACCCAAGGAATAGAGTCACGAGGGCCTAGATTGTCTTACCAGAGAGCTTTATCTGGTATATTCTTTTCCCAAGGTTCCCTATCTCTTCCTTTAGGTAGCTCTGTCTGTCTACCGCTGTAAGATGGAGTCAGCCTCTTGGGAAAACCATGTGTGAATCAAAGAGCTTTGGCAGGGCTTAGTCCTCCTGTTCTAAGCCAGGAGAAAGGTCCTTTCTCCCCTTCCTTCTGTGGGTTTGACTCTCCTCACCACAACAGTGATAATATATGGGTGTGATGCGAAAGAAGGCACCAGGGAAGTTGTAAGATATAAGCCTGTTGGGCATAGTGGCACATGCTTGTAATCCCAACGACTACGGAGGCCGAGGCAGAAAGATCACAAGAACAAAGCCAGCTTCAGCAACTTAATGAGACCCTCAGCAACTTAGAGAGAGCCTGTTTCAAAATTAAAAAAAAAAAAAATTAAAAGGACTGGGGACATAGATCAGTGGTAAAACACCCCTGGGTCTCATCCCCAGTGGGGAGAGAGAGAGAGAGAGAGAGAGAGAGAGAGAGAGAGAGAGAGAGAGAGAGAAAAGCCTTGTTGAGCTTATTAGTAGCCCAGGCAAATGGAATTCCTAAAGTACTCTTATAGTCTCTCCTCCTCCTCTGGCCTTAGGGACTCTACATGATTAGAGAAGAGTGATTAGGCATGAAGGGTTCCTTCTGAATGCTGTCCTCTGGAACTGGAACAACACTAAGAGGATGTGGGATTCAATCAAGCAATGAAGCTTCCTGATGACAGCATTAAGACCATTCCTTCCTTGGTATAATTAAAGCATGAGATGATGTTTTCTCCTATGGCAGTTTGCTCACTTGCCCTTATCAATGTTCTTTTGTAGACCACCCCTTAATAAAGTAGAAACTACAAAAAGACAGGGACTGTGCCTTCCTTACCTTCTATTTACCCCCTACCACCAACACTTACTCTAAAACTGAATAGAAATCTTCAATGTAGCGTGATTACACTGGGATAAGAACACAACCTCCCCAACACCATCCCCACCCCCACCCCACCCCGCCCTCATACCTTTAATAAATAAAGAGAACTCTGGTCCTGGGGAGATTTGAGAAAGTTTCTGGCATCTTCCGGACTTTTGCATAATTGATAAATCCTCTGAGAAACAGGAGAAAGCCTAATTTAAAAAAGAAAAGTCAAGTGAATTTATAATTTCCATGTTAAGTCCCCATCCCAGAAATATCCCTCTTGATAGCAATTCTTTGTCATTTTTCTGCTAAAGGATATTAAAGCATGAGCAATTTCCAGAATCTCCAAAAGATTTTTTTATACCAAATTATCCATTCATCAATGAGAAGGCATAATCTCATGAGCCAAGAGTCTATTTTGCATATTGAGAATCTAATAGGTCTAAAAAGGAAAAAGAAAAGATGAGGCCAGACATTTATATTTGAAGGCCTCACTATCTACTGAGTTTAAAAAAAAAAAAAAGAAAGAAAGAAATCCAAGATAATAAGTTCCAAAACAGGGAGAAGTTAGAACAGAGTTTTTCTCAGGTAAAAAATATTCTAAACTTTCTTGAGATTTTTTTGTTGTTGATGACAGTACATAAAGCTGTCCACTAGATGTCAGGATGCCTCCACCTATTACAGCATTTCTCATATTCTCTGCTATTAAGCTCTTCTTTCTCTACTCTCATTAATGCTGTTTTTGTTTGTTTGTTTGTTTGTTTTTATGACTATACCAGAGTCTACTCATTTACAGAAGTCTGCACTTCTTGAAATGGTTTGTGGGGAGGTGATGCTACCCCTCCAATGGAAACCATACACTCCTGACTCTCCTTCAGAGATGGTCCCTGAGTTTTGAGTACATTTTAAACACTGCTATTGAAAGATACATAAAGTTTACTGTATACAGTAAGCTGGGCTCCAGTTTACTTACTGACTTGTACAACCATAACCACAATCTAATTTTAAAACATGTTTCTTACTCCCCCAAACCCTGTGCCCATTAGCAGTCACTACCCTTTCACCTGTTCCCTCCTCCCTCTTTTTTATTAGTCCATCACTTTCTTTTGGACACATGTTTAAGTATACTCAGAGGTGGAAAACTTTGTACTCAGGAGAAATGATTTGGGCAATAAGCAAGAGTTGTAGTGGCTGGGCTCAGTGAATACGATTCTGTTTGGCATCAAAAGCACACAGTAGGGTTGGAGTTGTGGCTCAGTGGTAGAGCACTTGCCTAGCATGTATGAGGTACTAGGTTTGATTCTCAGCACTGCATATAAATGAATAAAGGTCCAACATCTAAAAAAATTTTTTTTAAAAAAACAAGCACACAACAGTAAATTAAGGGTTACCCTTCCAAATGCTGGGATGGGCGAGGGGGGAGGCAGAGTCCTTCTAAAAGGGAGAGCATGTGACGTGTGTATGGAAGGGATAGCTACAAATCAGCTCAGATCCAACCAAAGGGTGCTGTGTGGGATGAGAATATAGACCAGTTTTGCTGGATACTCCAACTTTTAAGAAAAGTAAAACAAAACAAACAAAAAACTCATGGATGATTTCTATGAAAAATTTTGATTTTTAAATGTTGACAACTACAAGGAAAAAAAAACAAACTGTGGTATAGCTGGACATAGTAACATAATCCCAGCAACTCAGGAGGCTGAGGCAGAAAGACTGCAAGTTCAAGGCCAGCCTGAGTAGCTCAGTAAGTCCCTGTCTCAAAATAAAAAAAATTTAAAAAGAGCTGGGGATATATCTCAGTGGTAGAGTGCCCCCTGGGTTTATTTCCCAGTATTGCAAAAATAAACAAACAAAACAAAGAGTTGAAACAAACCACAACCACAGGCTAGATGTAGTTCATGAGCTTCCAGTCTGAGACCCATGCCAAATCCCTTGCAGAAGAAACTCCATAAAACAAGTTCTTCTCGATAAAAGTTCCAAAAATGACCAAAACATTGGGTGCAAAAGCATATAAGTATAACCAATGTCTTAATATGTTTTGCATATAAGAAAACAGTACACAGCAGGAATGATCAATGATAAAGTATCATAAATCCATCTTCCATGAAACTTTTATATAAAAAGAAAATCTATCCATTAAATTTCTTTAAATAATTTATGCTGCAATCAACGAGTCTGCACACATACTTAAAAACTCTGCTTTGGTTCATTCAGGATTCGATTTAACCTTAGGCTTAGTCAGGCTTTCTTTTGAAAATACAATTTAGAGAATAAGCAAATCAAAGAATTATTCTCCCTAAGTTATTGTCTTATTGGTAATTTTTATTATTAAACTTCTCAGTAATCAATGGAGGGGGAAAAAAAATCACTTTCTCTCTCTTCAATTACTGGAATTCCAATGACCAACAGCACAGTGAATGATGCTGCTTGCAGAAAAGGACAGGGAATAAAGTGATAAATGACTTGTATTTTCTATGTAAAATTTAGGGTCAGCAACACATGACTCTGTCAAACTAAGCAAAGCACGTCCTGAATCTATTAAACCTATTAAGCACCTATTGGGTATAGTCACTAGGTTGTGCCAGGTCCATGAGCAGAATACCACCAAGAATCTTTAATACAGAGGCAACAAGAGAGCCCAAACCTGGAGGTAGGAGAAAATGGTGTCACCAATGGGGAACGTGGCAATCACATCAAACAGCTGCAAACAGCCCAGCTCTTGCTTCTAAGATGTAACAACAGTTATGATGGCCTCTCTTACTGTATCACATACATTTTATTTATGAATAATGAAGAAGCCACATTAAAACAATTCACCCAGTGGGCTTGTCTATTTGTTTGCTTAGTCTTTTTTTTTTTTTACTTCTAAAGGAAATATTTAGAGTAAAAAAATAAAATCTTAAAACTGATAATCTGGGCTGAGGATGTAGCTCCATGGGTGCAGTGCTTGCCTTACATGCACAAGGCCCTGGGTTTAATCCCTAGCACTATACACATAAAACACACACACACACACACACACACACATACCACCACCACCAACAACAAAAACTCATAGTCTGTACTACCTGGATTTTTTTTTTAAAGTTTCCTCCCCACTATAAAATAATTCTTAAATGGTAAACTAAAGAATTCTAGAAAACCAATAACAGTCATTTCAGAAGTTATGTCTAATAAGGCTATCCATTTCTGTTGTCTACTGAGATCTAACCAAAAATGAACTACATACACTCAGGAGTTTAATACACGGCTGAGTTTGTGAACACTTTGTGGCAATAACAGGGAGGAAACTCCACAGATTATCCAGTCTTCTCATGAATAATGCCCTACTGATCAAATGGGGAAGAAGTATCCATAAATGGGTTAAGAAAAACCACTACAGACTCATCATTAACATGCACATTACTCTGATGGTGACAACAGCCTAATCTTTAAGAAAGAAACATTTTTAAAATTATACTTTTAATGGATAATTATTATATTGCTATGTAATAAGTGAGATGATGGTTTACTAAAAGTAATTTTACTTTTAAAATTTAACATAAATTTTTCTCTCCTTTTCTTATATTAGAAGTGCTTACCTAAAACCAGGAACACCCACCAGAGCCAGTACTGACCATCAAAGTATCCAGGGAAATAGGTGGAAAACTAAAAAATAAGGAAAACACTTTATATCAGCTTAACAAATACAATTTTACCCAGTAATTTAATGGCGCATAATATACAAGGCATTTGTTAAACCACTGCTGACATTTAGCCCTTATAAAAGTTTAGAAAGTGCAAGTTGAGGGGATGTAGCTCAGTTGGTAGAGTGTTTGCCTTGCGTGCACAAAGCCCTGGGTTCAATCCCTAGCACTCCCCCACAAAAAAAAAGGCAAGTTGAAGTATGTTAATGTGTTACTGATTTGAAATGATCTGATAAATGTAAATCTATTTCCTTTCATGAAAAGCAGTCCTTTTATAGCTTTAGTTTTATGGCCTCCTTGTTTTTGTTTTTTGTTTCGTATTATTATGGGGCAGGATGTGCAATGACCAAACAGACTTCATTTGATCCTGAGACTCCATATCATGTAAGAAATGCTTCTCCTGTGGGAAAGCCCCACCTCTGTACCCATTAATAGTTACCTAGCAATTCTTATACAATATAAAATTGTTTTCTTTGCTTTCCATCTTTCTTGGGCAATGTCCCTTGTCAGAGATTGATTGTCTAGATGTTAGTAACCATTCTCTTACACTCAATTAAGGTCATTTTGACCCACTTCCTTTCTGCTTGCTTGCTGCTATGCCAATCTGGAAAGTCCTGTGGGAAATACCAATGTACCCATTGCATTGTCTCGTTAACTGCCCAATTCAGCTTCTGTACTTGCTTGCTTACATTGGCTAAACCTCCAAACATCCCTTTTGTGGTTTTTTGGCTTAAATATGAGGCCAGCTGAAGGTGGGCACGTTACTCTGACCATCTTCCTTTTAGAGAGTAGAGTGTCTGCCACTGGCCAGCAATAAAAGCTTAACTGGAATGGCAATGTGTGGTCTGAGAGTTATTTGAGGGTCTTGGTATCAGTTTAACAGTACCAGGGATTGAACTCAGGGGCAGTGGACCACTAAGCCACATCCCCAACCCTATTTTGTATTTTATTTAGAGACAGGGTTTCACTGAGTTGCTTAGTGCCTCACTTTCTCTGAGGGGCTGGCTTTGAACTTGCGAACCTCCCAAGCTGCTGGGATTACAGGCGTGCGCCCCTCCGCCCGACCACCTCCCTTGTTTTTAAAGTATATAAAAATTTGATTTTTAAAAAATACTCCCCCCAACACAGTATTTGCCCTTCTTAAAACATGCTTCAATGAGAGTTTTACTTGATTTATGCAGTGCTAAAACTAATTGTTTTCCTAATATTGCCTCTTTTCTACAAGGCCCAGTTTTGTTCCTACTCCTCCAGCCTTGCCTTCACCTTGGTTAATCCTATGCTTTTGCTAGTAACTGGTTTAGAAATGAACACAGGGTGTCATTCTGGCCAACAGAAATTCAGGATTTCTGAAAACGCTTACTTGCTCTTACAGAAGAAT